CTGAGTTGGCACTGAGTCCACAGGTAAAGGGCTCAGCCCCACAAGACTGCTTCCTACTTCAGACCCCAGACTCTAGCCTTGGACTGTCACATGTCCTGACCAACTAGCTATCAATTGGGGGTTCCCAAACCCCTTCTTCAGGTTTGATAATTTGCTATAATGACTCACAGAACTCAAGGACACATTTAGATGTTTACTGGCTTCTCTTAAATTACAGAGGATCTGTAATTGCAGAGATCTCTTCTGTTACAGAGGATCAGCCAGACAAAGGGGTACACTGGCAATACATATGGGAAGAAGGAAACAGCCACCCCTGTCCTCCCCAAAGATTTCCCCCTCTGAGTACCAGGATGTGTTCACTCAGTTTGAAGCTCTCCAAACCCCATCATGTAAGAATTTTTATGGTGGCAAGGCATGCTGGTTTACGCCTGTAAACCCAGCACTCGAGAGGTTGAGGCAGGAGGATTCTTGAGAGTTCGAGACCAGCCTAGGCTGCAAAGTGAGCTCAAGATCAGCCTTATTGTATTAGAGATAGCAGGAGGCATTATGGTAACCATTGTTGATCACCTTGTATTATGTTTTTATATTATCTATTATGTCCACCCTTTTGACTTGACCGATTCTGTTCTGTTATGTCTCATTTGGTTTTACTCTCTTCCAAAAAAGCAATAATAACAGTGGGAGCAATGAAACCCAAAATGTGTAATAGTCATTGTACAAAAGAGAGGAAAAGAAAGTGCTCTAAACTATATAGCTGCATGTATATTTAAGTGTATAAGATAGAAAATGATATCACAGAGTTTTATTGGATCATTGAACAGAACTGTTTGCAGTATCATTGTTGGAATGTCCACTCTACAAGCTTTAATTTTGTGACTTGAACAATTATTTCTAAGATGGCAATATGTAATCCATTAACTAATGATTTCCTACTGTTCATTTTTTTCTTCTGTAAATCTGTATAACTTGTACCCTTTCACTGTTTTTTTTTTTCTTTTCTCCTTAAAGAAATAAAAAAAAAAATCAAAAAAAAAAAAAAAAAAAAAAAAAAAAAAGATCAGCCTTAAATGCACAGAGAAACCCTGTCTCAAAAAGACCAAAAAAAAAAAGAATGTTTTATGGCAGCTTCATTGTGTAGGAATGATTATTAACTTGGTCTGGAGCTCTGCCCACTCTCCTCCAGGAGCTGAAAGTATTAAGTATTTCGTGATGGCCTGGTCTTTCTGGGACCAGCTCCTATCCTGAAGATGTTCAGGAGCCCATCAAAAGTAATCTCGCTAGCACAGAAGAACCGGAAATTCCAAGGGATTTGGGCACTCTGAGTCAGGGGCTAAGGTCAAAGACCAAATACTAGAACAACAGCTGCTCTTAGCACCATTATCACCCAGGAAGTTGCAGGGTTTCTGCAGTTCTGGGTCAGGACCTAGAGAAGTTTTGGGGTCTTAGAATATCATGTCAGCTGCAAGTAATCATACTTTTAACTTCTTCCTTTCCTGTCTTTCTTTTATTTTGTTCTCTTCTGTAATTGCTCTGGCTAACGTTACCCGAAGTATATTGAATATGAGTGCTGGCAGTGAACATCTTTGTCCTGTTCCTGATGTTAGCGTGAAAGCTTTCAGTTATTATGCATGTAGTATGATATCGGCTGTTGTTTTGTTATCATAGATGGCTTTTATCGGGTTAAAATAAAGACCATTTTTCAAAAGCCAAGTTTAGTGGCACACACCCATAATCCCAGCACTGTGGAAGCTGAGGCAGGAGGATCATTGTAAGTTTAAGACCAGCCTGGGCTACAAAGTAAGCTCAAGGTTAGCCTGAACTGCGTAGTGAGACCTTGTCTCAAAAGGACAAAAAAAGAGACCATATATTCCTATTTTCTGTATGGTTTTTATCACGAATCGGTCTTGGACATTGGCAAATGTTTTTTATGCATCTATTGAGATAGTCGTTTGGTTTTTGTACTTGGCTCTGTTACTGTGGTGTACTGCATTTACTGATTTGTATATGATGGTTATCATTGTCTTCCTGGGATGAACCATACTTGTCATGGTGTATAATCTTCTTATGATTTGTTGCATTCATTTTGCTAGTACCGTATTAGGGACTTTTGCATCTATGTTAATTAGAGAGATTGGCCTGTAGTTCTCTTTTTTGGTTGAGTTATTCTCTGATTTTGGTATTAAGGTAATGCTTGCTTCCAGTAATGAATTTGGAAGTACTGCTTCTCTTTCAATTTCATTATAAAGAGTTTGAGAAGTAGCAGCATTAGTTCTTTTTTAAATTTCATGTACAATTAAGCAGTGAATCCATCAGGGCCTGGGTTTTTCTTTGTTGGGAGTGTTTTAATTACATTCTCAAATTTCATCTGATATTGGTTTATTTCAAATTTTTATAGTTTCTTGATTCAGCTTTTGAAGTTCATGTGTATCTAGGAATCTGTCCATTTCTTCTGTGTTGATAAGTAGCAGCATTAGGTCTTTTTTATTAGCAGTGTTAGGTCTATCTTATTAGAATACAGGTTCTTGGCCAAGGATTTAGCTCAGTGGTGTAAGTGTCTGCTTGGCAAGTGCAAGGTCATGAGTTCAATCCCCAGTATCAAAAGAAAAGAAAAGAAAAAGAAAACAGATTCTTCTGACCCTGAATCAAGGCCGGCAGCTTCCTAATGATGTTGGTTTCAAGCAGGAGCCTAAAGAGATGTCTTTCTATGGTCTGTTTGCCATTTCAGAACTTGGGCAGTGAAATGGTCAATTCATTAGAAAGAAACAGCTTCAAGCAACCACTACCACCACCACCCCTGCAGCGCCCCACCCCCCACCCCAGCGGCTGTGAATGTGGCAGGCTCTGACGGCCCAGGACAGTAGCATTTGCTGGGACCTGCGCCATACTGGGACCTGGAACACTGGGAAACCAAGCAACCCCTCCCCCTCTGCCTGTTTTGTTTTGTTGAACTTAAGTATACATGAAAGTATGGACAGCTATTTTGAAGAAAATGAGAGACTCTATGACTGCCATTGGTGACTTCCCTAATATCTGGTTTTGAAGACCTAAATCGCCTTCCTCATTCTATTTGGATCAGTTTTATACTATGTTGTTTTGTATGAAATCTCTGTATGTGAAGACGTGGACAACTATTTGGAAGAAAACAAGAGACAATATGATAGATAGTGAAGATATCAGGTCGTCTAGCTTTGAAATTTATATCTCTTACATTGCTTTCTTATGTCCTATTTTGTTCTATTTTGTTGTGTTTAATTTTACCCCCTTTAAAAGAAAAAAAAAAAAGAACAGATTCTTGACACAGGTATTGATCTTCTAGATTTCTGCAGGATGTGCTGTGATTATTCCCTTTTCATTACTAATTGCATGACTTTTAATCTTTCCTTTTTTTTTTTTTTTTTTTTAATCCGTACCGGGGATTGAACTCACTACTGCCTGCTTGCAAGGCAGGTGCTTATGCCACTGAGCTAAATCCCCAGCCCCAGAATCCTTCCTTTTTTTGATAAAATTGGCTAAGGATTTGTCAATTTTATTTAATCTTTCAAAGAACCAAGTCTTCCATTTATTGATTCTTTGTATTGTTTTCTTAGTCTTTAGTGCATTAATTTCTGCTCTAGTCTTTATAATTTCCTCCCTCATACAAGCTTTGGGCTTGACTTGCTCCTCTTTTTCTAAAAGCTTGAGATTCAACTTTAGGATATCTGAGTTTGCTCTATTTTCCTGATATGGGAATTCACCCCTATAAATTTCCCTTGTAGGACTGCTTTCATTGTGTCCCATAGTTCCAGTATGTTGTATTGGCATTATCATTTAATTGTAGAAACTGTCTTAATTTCTTCTTTAATTGTATGTGTGACCTATTGGTTGTTCAGGAGGGTTTTATTTAATTTCCATGTGTTTATGAAGTTCTTGTGGTTTCTTTTGCAGTTGATTTCCAATTTCATTGCACTATGGTTGGATAGTATGCATGGGATAATTTCAGTTATTTTGCATTTACTTAAACATGTTCTATGAGCTAGTGTGTGGTCTATTTTGGAAAACATCCATATGTAGCTGAGAATGTATACTCTGATGTTGTGAGGTAGAATACACTATAGACATCTACTAAGTCCATTTGTTAAGAAATTTGGCTCAGTTCTAATATTTCTTTGTTGATGTTTTTGTCTAATTGATTTGTCTATTTGTGACAGTGGGCTATTGAAGTCCCCCATTAGAACTGTATTAGTGCTTATTTGATTTTTCCTTTTTTTTTTTTTTTTTTTGGCACTGGGGATTGAACTCATGACCTTCTGCTTGCCAGGCAGGCACTTATGCCACTAAGCTAAATCCCCAGCCCAATGCTTATTTGATTTTTTCATGTCTAGTAATATTTGTTTTGTACAGTTGGGTGTGCTGCTGTGTCAGGAACTGGAGACAGAAACCAAATTTATGCACATGGTCTCTAACATTAGGGTTTAACTTAACACTTTTTCCAACTTTACAATGGTGTGAAAGCTTATTTATGCAACTACTCTGTTTATCACTTTCCATATAGTATTCAGTAAATTACGTAAGATATTCAACGTAAAATGGGCTTGTGTTAAATGATTTTGTCCAGTAGTAGGCTAGTGTACATGTTCTGGGCATAATTATAGTATAGGTTTAAGACTAATCTATAATGTTTTTTAGTTTAAATGTATATCAAATGCATTTTTTTTTACTAACAGTAGTTTCTTCCTAGAGTGGCTTTATCAGTACATATCCCACTGGAAGTATTCTTTCTTAGTTTTTTAATTGTATTTTTTACTTTCATGAGACTCCATGTATTATTGTTTCTTCTACATTTGCAGAGCAGTCCCTGAGTTCCAATGCTAGCCCTGTCATTCTGTAAATGTTCTTATAATTACTGGGTTTTTATTGGATGCCAAAAGTTTGTAAGGGTTGTAACCTTTTCTGTGAAACTTGCTTGAAACCTGTTTGCGAAGAAGTACTGCCAAAATTAATGCAGCCTGTTTTGTGCTTAGGTGCCTGAAGGAAGATCCTGCCACCATGTCCCTGCTGCAGAGAAGCCTGGATCCTGAGAAGACCCTGGGCCTAGTGGATGTGCTCTACACAGCTGTATTGGACCTAAATCGTTGGAGGGCAGGAAGGTTGGTACGCACCAGTCACTTGAATTGTCTGTGCAAGAGCTGTGTGTAAAAGAAAAAAAATCATTTAGGTCCATACCCAGAGGGGGTGCAGCCTCATAGGTTCTGTGTGTGCTCATGTCACTGATTGTGTGTGAGTAAATAAGCAACCAAGAGAGCTCTTCAGCAACTTTTTATCTTGGGGTTAATTTAAACTCACAGAACATTTGCAAGAATAGAACAAAGAATTGCTCTTTGCCATTTACTCAGATTCCCTAATTTGTTCACACTTTGCCCTCATTTTTTTATCATGAGGGTAAGTCCATCAGGGGAACTTTCAGTTCAGTTCACAATCTCTTTAGGAACTGGGAGCAGAAAAACGTTTAGAAAATTTACTTATGTCTTTCATGAAATTTACTTGTGTCTGAAAGTTGTTGTAAGATCTGTTGTAAGATTATCTCTTTGTGAACTGTTAGTTTTTGAACTGATAAAGATCTTGAACTTCTACCAGTGGGCCAGGGAGGTAGATCATCGGCACTGTGCCTGCCTGGCAAGTGTGAGGCCCTGAGTTTGATTCTTAGTGCCAAAAAAAAAGTCTAGCTGTGCCTCCTTTCCATTTATTTCTTAACTCCTGAGTACACACACAAAGGCTGATAACAGTATCATGACTTCTGTGTGGTTACACCAGCCATCATCTGCCTGAGCTTGTACGCTTTGCCCTTTTTTATCCTTCTTGTTCCCTTTCAGCACAGGAAAAGAGTGCTCAGAAATCTTTAGAAATAACAGCCATCCATTCAACAATATTGGTGTATAGTGACCAGAGTCCTCCCTATGCCACCATCTACTGTGTAGATTTGTCCACTGACCTTCTGGATTTGCCTGGCTCTTAGTCCCTGTCCTGAAGACACAGAGCCAGGCCCAGCCAGTTGCATCCCCCAGTCTATCCATGCTTTGCTTTCCCTTGCTACCAAACGTTAGCATTTTCTCAGCCCTGTGTTAGAGGGTATAGATTAGGAACACTCAAATCTCACTTGAGTGCTCATTTATATATATGGGAAATAAGTGAACCTGATATTAACCACAGGGTCTTTCTTGTTTTTAAAGTTTTTGGGTTTGTGTGTTCCCGAATATTGAACCCAGAGCCTCATGGATGCTAGGCATCGAAGTCTTTCTTACATACAAAGAGGTCCAGGGCCAAGGATTTAGGTCAGTGCTGTAAGCAACTGCCTGGCAAGTGTGAGGTCATGAATTTGATCCTTGGTACCAAAAAAACCCCAAAGAGGTCCATTTCATTTTCCAATATGTAAATTTGGTTTCTGTTGTTTTGTTTTGTTTTGTGGGGGGGGTTTGTCCCCAAATAGGGAACAAGCTTTACCTTGCATCCAGATCCAGCTTCAAAGAGAGATCTGTGACTTTGGGAACCAGGCTGACCTGCCTTCTGGAAATGGAAACAAACCTTCAGGTGGCCTCCAGAAGACATTCTCCAAACTGACATCCCGCTTCACCAAGAAAGCATCATGTACCAGCTCTAGCAGCAGCACAAATTATTCCATCCCAAATACCCCTTCCAAAAATGTCTTCATAGCTGGGTGTTCAGAAGAGAAGGCCAAAATGCCCACTCATATTGATACACGGTTACAAAGCATTTTGAACACTGGTAATTTCCCTAGGACTACAGATCCCTCACAATCAGCTCAAAATTCCAACAATCCAATGGCCAATGGTTTTCTCGTGGAGAGGCGTGAAAACTTCCTGCATGGGGATGACAGCAAAGATGAAAAGGGCATGAACTTACCAACTGATCAGGAAATGCAGGAGGTGATAGATTTTCTCTCAGGCTTTAACATGAGCCAGTCGCATCAAGGTTCTCCACTGGTGACAAGGCGTAATTCTGCTGTCACAGCCATGATGACTGAGCAGAAGGCAGGAGCCGTGCAGCCATCACTGCCAGTGCCCCCTTCACCGCGGCAGACACAACCTAGGACACACACAACTCTGACACCCCAGCCAGGTCCTGCACCTCAGCAACAGTCCCCAAAGCAACCGCAGCCCCAAGTCCAATACTACCAAAATCTGCTGCAACCCTTTGGGCCACAGCAGCCCCCACCTCAGCCTCAAGCACCTGGAAAATGGGTACACAGCTCAGCCCAACAGCCAGCACAGCCTGTGGGAGCAGGTCTGTCTCCTCTTGTTCAGTGGCCTGGCATATCTGATCTCAGTTCTGACTTGTACAGCTTGGGTCTAGTGAGCAGCTATATGGATAATGTGATGTCGGAGGTTTTGGGACAGAAGCCACAGGGACCTAGAAATAACACCTGGCCAAACCGTGACCAAAGTGATGGAGTCTTTGGAATGTTGGGAGAGATTCTGCCTTTTGATCCTGCAGGTACGTGAGACCTTCCCATTTCTTACACCATTTGAACATAAAATGTAGGACTTCTCTGGCTGGGTATGGTGGCACATGCCTGGAACCTCAGCGTTCAGAAGGCTGAGGCAGGATTGCTGTGAGTTCAAGTCCAACCTGGAATATATAGCAAAAAATAATAATAGTGACTGTTAAGCCCTGTCTGTGATACTCTTACTTACAAAGGTAAAAGAATTGAATTCTCTTTTAAAGACCACTTTTCACTGTGTGAGAAGCAAGTACAGGCCAGATCTAGCAAGAAAGAAAGCAATAGTGAGAAAGAGATGGAAAAGGTAATTGCAACTACGTTTCACTTTATGCAGGACAGGATTGAGGCTAAAAGAAGTGGAGCAAATTGCTCATACTCCTGTAGCTTAAATGGGTATCAGTCTAGGCCCTCCTGCTTCTGAGAGTCAAGGCAGATGGCCCTTTGTAGGTAACATTATCTCTGGTTATACAGCTTGTTCTGGTGGTGCTCATTTGTCTAAATGCTGGTACTTATTTAAGATGGTAGAACACCCCTCTGCCTTCATAGACTATGAAGCTTCTTCTAGCCTAGATAGTAAAAAACAAAACCATCAGATTGACTCTAAGGAATTAGAGAAAGATATAAGGGGCTGGAGATGTGGCTTAGTGGCACAGTGCCTGCCTGGCAAGCACAAAGTCCTGAGTTCAATTCCCAGTACCAAAAAAAAAAAAAAAAGAGAGAGAGATAAAACCAAATTAATAAAAAGGAAAAATACAGGGCTAGATATTTAGCTCAGTGCTAGCAAGCACAAGGTCATGAATTCAATCCCCAGTACAGAAAAAATGAAAAAATATAGCCAGGCATGGTGGTGCCTGCCTATAATCCTGGTATTCCAAGAGAATAAGGCAGGAGGACCAAGTTCAAGCCCATTGTGGGCAATTAGCAAGACCCTTTCTCAAAACAAAAAATTAAAAAAGGACTGAGGTTATAACTTAGTGCAAAGGCTCTTGTTTAATCCCCTGTATCTGGCGGTGTTGGGGGGTTAATATATAGCAATGTATGTATATTATTTTCTTAGGTAGGAAAATGTTGAAATCGTACCAGGAGCAGTGGGTTCATAGGCAACTGTTTTTCAAATTTTAGAGCTCAAATAAATCTAAGTTTTAAACTACTATGGACACAGAAAGAGGAAACCAATAACCTAATTCATTTTTATGAAGTCAACATAACTTTATCATAAAAAACTCTATAAGAGGGGCTGGGGATTTAGCTCAGCGGCATAAGTGCCTGCCTTGCAAGCAGGCAGTTGTGAGTTCAATCCCTAGTACCGATAAAAACGAAAAAGACAAAAAAAAAAAAAAAAAAACTCAAAAGGATTTTTTTTTCCTGTCTTTTTGAAACAAGGTCTCACTGTACAATTTAGACTGGTTGTAAGCTCACTTTGTAGCACAGGCTGGTTTTGAATTTGCAATACTCTTCCTGCCTCTGCCTCCTGAGTGCTGGGATTAAATGTGTGCACCATCACACACGGTTATAAAGATTATTTTAAAAAGCAGTATAGTGCATCTCACTTATAATACAGAGACTATGGATAGATGCAAGAAAATCTAGCAGTGTTTCAAAACCATAATAACTGATACTAAAATTTTTATTTTGGGGATATAAGAATGATTCCTATAAGGAGCTCTGCTACTATACAACAATCCAGTACTACTTATCAACCAAGAAATAAAAATTGATCTTATCAATAGATGCTATAAAAGCTTTTGATAAAAGACACTAGCAATTTTTAAGCAAAACAAAATAAGCCCCTCAGAGTAAAATATGAATAAAAGAAATTTTCTTTTTGGATTTTTTGAAACACGGTCTCAAAAAGTTCACTATATAGTTCAGTGTGGCCTCAAACTCACAGTGATCCTCCTGCCTCAGCCTCCTGAGTGCTGGGATTAAAGGTGTGTGCCACCACACCTGGCAGAAATTTCTTGAATATAGAAAAGACTGTATCAAAAGCCAGTAGCAAATAATGTCTTACATAATGAAACAAATCATTTCAGTATTAAAAAAAAAAAACAGTAAACAGCCGGGGTTAGCCATTTTAATCTGTAGCATGTAACTCTTGACTTAGAATTTCTAGCAAATGCAGCAAGATGAAAGTAAAGTAAGTGTATAAACTCTAGGAAATTATAGATTAAGAAAAAGTATTTCTCTCCAGGTGTGGTGGTACACCTGTAATTCTAGCACTCTGGGAAGCTGAGGCAGGAGGTTCACATTTTGAGCTCATCCTGGGCAACTTAGTGACTTAGGTGAGACTCTGTCTCAAAATGAAAAATTTTTAAAAAGAGCTGGGGATGTATTTCACATGAGAATGCCCTAAATTTAATCCCCATCCCTGCACTCTCCCCAAAAGCACATCTCTTTGTTGGTAATAAAATTAAAAAAGCAACTCCTTTCTCCTAAAAAAAGCTTCTAAATTATTAAGAGTATATGATAAAGTACATGCCATTTAGGTATATAGATACAGACCTTTATACTAGTTTTTGTTTTTTTCTTTTTGGTACTGGGAACCTTGCGCCTGCCAAACAGGCGCTTATACCACTGAGCTGAATCCTCAGCCCCCTTTTTTTTTCTAATTCAGCAAAAGGAATTCAGAAGTGAGAAATATATTCCATCCATAGGAAGAATACCAGGAAATATTATAAATAAGCATAGCAAATATTTGTCCAAGTAAATAAACACCAGAAAAGGAGATTCTTTGCTAAAATACCCTAGCACTAAATGAAAGATATGTCTGCTTTTATCTTTCAGAAAACCTCCCAGGGCTGCCCAGGCTGGCTTGTTCATCTTCTTGGGTAGATGGATGCAGGGCACATTGCACCCATAGTCCTGGGCCACAGACCAGGGAAAGTTCTACCCTTCTATGAAAGTGCAATCCCCCCTGGCTGCCACCAGTGGGCTGGGCATGACTTATTTCCCCAGTTGGTGATAAATGTTCTGAACACTTCTTGACAGTCATGTAACTAAATCAAGAACACAGATACAGCCAGGAATGGTGGCACATACCAGTAATCTCAGCATCTGTGAGGCTGGAGAGGAAGAAATGTGAGTTCAAGGGTAGCTTGCACGACAAAGCAAGACCCTGCCTCCAAAAAAAAAGGCAAGGGGATTGGGCCTTTTACTACATTGCCAGACCCTGTGTGTCAAAGAGTCGAAGCACTGTTTGGCAGAATTAATCATCTTTGAGCTACACTGAGGCCCTGACAGTTTTTTGTCTTTGACCTCAAATCTTACTCTTAAAAGTGTTCCTTTCTGAATTGCAAGTCCTTGATATCACCTCCTGTAGAAGCCACTTCTAGGTCTCAAGGTCTGTATAGCCTTTTGTGCAAATTAAGGACATTAGCCAGGCAAGGTGGTACACTCCTGTAATACCAGCACTTGGGAGGCTGAGGCAAGACCGTCCCAAGATCGAGACCAGCCTGGGCTACAAAGTGAGCCTAAAGTCAGCCTGAACTGGATAACAAGATCATATCTGAAAAAGGAAATACAGACAAACAAACAAAGGACTTTAGAATAGAATGGCCCTTGTTGTTCAACAAACACAACTCCTGGAGCATGGTTTTATGAACTGAGATCCCATCCTTAATTGCAGCCCTGTCTAGTATATGTCCTCGCACAGTGCTCTAAAAACTAGCTAGAAATGGGATTGTGTTCAATCCCTGGTAATAAGAAAAAAAGAAAAGAAAAGAAATGGAATTGTGCCCTAGAATCTTTCCCAATTAGAAGGTAAAAGGTATGCAGTGTTGAATCATATTTTGTTTGTGACCCCTAGATACTTTCCTCCCATATCTTTACCCCACCCTACCCCACCCTGGTGCTGGGGATCCAGTTTCTGCCTATTTGGCAAGTGCTTTACCAGCCATATCACCAGCCTCTATCCGACTGACTGATGCTTTGCTAACTTTCAAGTCACTGGTTGGCCATCTGACTTCCTAGGTTGTTAGGAACTAAGTACATAGCAGCAAGATACTGGAAAATGTAGATGTAATTAGTGCAGTGGTGCCTCTATTTAAAAACTGAATTTGTTCTATGATTTTGGAAATGATGGCCACATTTGTGTTTGTGTGGAAAAGATGACTATGTTCATATTTGTCACCCAATGCTGTTTATAATCAAAAACAAAACTTTGCTAGATGCTTATTTGCAAACCAAATGGTTCATGAACCGAGATACCACTGTATTTGTCTTTAAAATGTAGTCATGGAGGCCGGGGGGTTAGCTCAGCGGTGTAAATGCCTGCTTGGCAAACGCGAGATCGTTGAGTTCGATCCCCAGCACCAAAATAAATAAAGTACAATAAAACAAAATATAGTAGTTATACATGCCAGGGGTGGTGACATACCTGGGGTAATCCCAGTACTTAGGAGGCTGAAGTGGAAGGATCTCTGCCTCACTACAGCCTGCACTACATAGCAAGACTCTGCCTCCAAAAAAAAAAAAATGGCGGCTGGAGATTTAGCTCAGCGGCATAAGCACCTGCCTTGCAAGCAGGCAGTCATGAATTCGTTCGATCCCTGGTACCGATAAAAAGGAAAAAGATGGAAAAAAAAAATGGGAAAAAAAATGTAATCAGACATAAATTAAAATTTTCACTTTCTATCTTCCTTTCACATCCAGCATGCCTTTCTCCTAGGCATAGTACTTTCTGACCGTCTCTGCACACTCTGTCCTCACGTTTCATACCTGCCTGCTGAAAGTTCTATCTCACCTTACCAGACACAGCTTGCAGCCAACTTTTGGGGACCCAGCCTGGCAGCTCCTGACCACTTTCCATGGTGTGCAAGCAGCATGTCCTCAGTACGTGTGGCAGGAACCAAGAGGGCAACTTAACCTCAAACCCTGTTTGTTCCTTTGTCTCAACCCAGTGGGCTCAGACCCCGAATTTGCACGCTACGTGGCAGGTGTGAGTCAGGCAATGCAGCAGAAGCGGCAAGCCCAGCACAGTCACCGCCCAGGCAACCCTCGGGGCAACTGGCCACCCATGGATGATGCCCACCGGACCTGGCCTTTTCCAGAGTTCTTCACAGAAGGGTAAGTGCTGGGTACAGCAGGGAAGCCAGGTTTGGTATCTGGGTGTTCCAAATGGAGTCTGTGAGAAGGAAGACTAATTGACCTTTTAATACACTGGTCACCAGTTCAGTTCCAAGCCCTCAGGAGAGAGTGATGAGGTTAAAGCTGCAGGGGATTAGAGTTTTTATGACTGTAGGTTGTCAAGTGGCATGATGTGCCCCTGTGTATACAACCTTCATATAAATTCATGATTTAAAACAAGTTTTTCTATCTGAGACAAAGATCTTACCTGATAGTGTTTATAATATTGAACATGATCTTTGTGCTGCAGTGAGCAGGACTGAAACTCTGGGAATTATGGAACGCTATCATTATAGCCTGCCTGAAGGAAAGCGGGGCCTGGGCTGTGGCTCACTGGCAGAGCACTTGCATAGCATGTGCAAGGCCCTGGATTCTCTCCCCAGCACCACCATCATCATACCAGGTTTCACGTGGAAGCCACAGGCTTCTGTGTGGAATAAAAGTAGGTACTGAATTATATATTACTTTTGAAACAAGGGGAAAGAAGAAAATTTCAAGTTTTTCGATAGGAGAAACATGACTATTATTTGGTCAGGACACAAGTGCAGGGTCTCCTACTCCTTTAGGGCTGGGTGGGTAGTGACACTGCCTTGGCTTTCCAGCCAGCATCCAGATTGACTGCAGGAGGCTGTGGATCAGCTTCTCTTTACCTTCCAGGGATGGTCTGCATAGCAGCTGGTCAGGTGCTCAGGGTGACTCAGCCAGCTCCAGTGATGAGACATCTTCAGCCAACGGGGACAGCTTGTTCTCCATGTTTTCCGGGCCTGACCTCGTTGCTGCTGTCAAGCAGAGAAGGTAGGAAGAGACTCCTAAACGTAGAGGGGTGGGATGTGTGACCCAGGGCCACCTTGTGGGGAAGTCAGGAACCCCATTGCTGCCAGTTTGCTTTTTGAGCTGAAAGGGTTCTTCCAGCACTGTCTGGCAAAAGGCCTCTAAATAGCACCTTCAGAAATAAAAAAAGATTTTTTTAATTAAAAAAAAAAGAGCACCTTCAGGAGGTAACTGCAAGGAAGAGAGGCCTGGTCTAGTGAAGCTTCTGAGGGACCACCACACAAGCTTGTAGACCAGGTGGCCTAATGTGGGGTTGAGTTCTCGCTAGTAGAATAGGTTATAGTAGACAAAAGTGTCAGTATGATAGGTGGATCATACTGGTATTCGAGAGGATTCGAGAGACAAGGTCTGCCCGTGCTAGTCTCTTCCTCGCAGGAGACAGCCCTTTCTGTGGGAGAAGCAGGGCCTGGGTAACTTCTAACCTAGCCTCATCAATAGACTCTCCAGTTACAGGGAAGGGCCTGGCCCTCTCTGATCCTCAGTTTCTCTGTCAAAGGAGGTACTGGGGACAATGACTTCTGAATGGCACTCACAATTGAAAGTGGTATCACATGTTCAGATCCAAGATGATTTCAATTTAATAAAAATTAAAAATTGTAAGGCTGGGGATTTAGCTCAGTGATGTAAGTGCCTGCCTTGAAAGTATGAAGTCATGAGTTTGATCCCCAGTACCAAAAAAAAAAAAAAAAAAAATTAAAAATTGCACTGGGAGGACTGGGGATTTAGCTCAGTGGTGTAAGCACCCGCCTGGCAAGTGCAAGGTCGTGAATTTGATTCCCAGTATCAAAAAAAAAATTTTGCAGTAGGACTTGAAATAAGGGGCAAGTTTGATTAAAAAGCAATGGAGAAGCCAGGCATGGTAGTGCATGCTTTAATCCCAGCACTCTGGGAGGCTGAGGAAAGACAATTTCAAGTCCAAGCCCAGCATGGGCAACTCAGTAATTTAGCAAGACCCTACCTCAAAAAAAGGGGAGGGGAGTTTTGTGGTGGCACACACCTGTAATGCCAGCATTCAGGAGGCTGAGGCAAACTAAGCGTTTGAGGCCAGCTCAGCTACATAGTGAGTTCAAGGCCAGTCAAACTATGTAGGGAGACCCTATCTCTAAATAAATAAATAAAAATGAATTTTAAAAAAAGGTTGGAGATATAGTTTAGCGTAAAGGCCCTGAGTCCAAAAAAGAAAAAGGTTGGAGACTGCTGTGGGTCAAAGGAAATTGAATTCAGAGGTGGCAAATTAAGGGACATGGAGAGAATGTGAAAGCATGCGGGGCACCAAGGTGAGAGAGGTGCAAGTGGGAAGCCCTGGTTCCCAGGCCCCTGTGGGAGGGGCCAGGCTGCAGTGGATGAGTAGTGAGAGGCATGTCGATGAAGATAGAAGGGTAGGTTACAGAGAATAGTTAGTAGTGATGTTGACCATGATGACAAGCTATAGGTGCTCTCTGTAGACTAGGCCTTGGGCCAAGTACCTCACATGCATTTGCTCACTTTTCCCTATCACTGTGTTGTCTTGTTAGGTAGCTCTGCCGTAACAAAGTATCATAGAGTAGATGGCATTAGCAATACAAATTTATTTTCTCACAGTTGTAAACACTGGAAATCTAGATGTTGGCAGGGTTGGTTTTCTCTGAAACCCTCCTCCTTGAATGGCACTGACAGCCTGTCTTACCATTGCAGAGTGGTGATAGCTGGCTTCTCCCTCTGGCTTTAATGATCTCCCTTCAGTGTGTCTCTTCTTAAAAGCCAGGCTGGAGGGGCTGGGAATTTAGCTCAGCAGCATAAGTGCCTGCCTTGCAAGCAGGCAGTCAAGAGTTTGATCCCCGGTACCAATAAAAAGGAAAAATACAAAAAAAAAAAAAAAAAAAAAAGCCAGGCTGGACTAGGGCCCAACCTACTGCCTCATTTTAACTTACTTACCTGTAAGGCCCTATCTCTAAATGCAGTCACATGAGCTTAGAACTTCAGCATATGAATTGATAGCAGACAGTTCAACTATAACAGTCACCATATGAGTACAGGTTTACTCCCAGTTTCCAGGTGAGGAAACTGAGGCTCAAAGTTAAATGTATTCATTCATACATCAGCATCTGTTATATACTATGCCTTTGTGGTATAGCAGCAAACAAAAAATTGCCTTCCTTCCTCATGGAACTTAGAGACTAGTAAAGAAGGCAGATTTTACAAAGTGTCATGTTGGGTTAGGTGTTGTGAATAAAAATACAGCAGGTGTGAGGGTTGAAACTGCAGAAACAAATGGGTTTTTCTCCTTTCAGAAGGGTGAATGAGGCCTCTAAACAACAGAGCGCTGACCGAAGTGAGTGAACAGCTGGCAGAGGCTGTGTGAGGGTGAAGGAATAAGGGTTTAGGCGAGTGCGAGGCCCATGTGTCTGCATGCAGCACTGCTGTGAACCAGGACTAGAGCCACTTCTGCAGAGACTGCTAGGAGCACACAGAGCACTGGCTCTCACCTGCGTTCTGCCTCGCATTCAGGGCTCATTTACTTTTAATTCTGTACATGGTAAACAGCCAGGGTCTACTGAACCATTTAATGAAAGCCAAAGCTGGTGGTCTCAGCCAGCAGATGAAAAAAGCCAGTACTCTTCTTTATGCCTGCCTTGCCCATCCCATCTGCATGCATGTGCTGTTTCCCTGACCCCTGAACATGACAGACTCAGGACTTCACATACAACCGGAGTCCCACGACACCAGAGACAAGCAACTAGGGTGTCCCCCAGAGCTAAGCAGGACAAGCAGCCAGGCAACTACTATTCTGGGTTCTTGGTTCTTTCAGGAAACACAGCAGTGGAGAGCAAGAGACCAACACGCTGCCCTCGCCATCTCTCCTCACTACAGTAGAAGACATGAACCAGGTATTGTCAGCTGGCCCATTGTAAAAACCATGAGCAAAGCTCCAGAGCTTCAGTTTAAGAGGACCACTAAGTCGTGAGGGTTCTTTGTGCTGAATCACTTTTTTTTCCTGATTGTCTGAATGATTAACTATGTCAGCTGGCTCATCCAAATGTAGAAGAAGCTCTAGGGTTGTACTGTCCCATATTGCCATGTGCAGCTGTTCAGTTATTCAGTTCCATGGGTGCATTAGCCATATGTGACTAGAGGCTTATGTGTTGAACACATACATCACTGTTATTATTGTAAGAAATTCCAGTGCTCAAGGACGAGGGCAAGGCTGGGACTCACACCCTGCCTGCCTACTAGGTAGAAAAAAAGGCCAGAGATCTGGGAGGTGGGAAAGGATGACAAATCACCAAACATGCCACTAAGAACTCTTCTTTCTCTCAGGATAACAAAACCAAAACGTGGCCACCCAAAGCACCCTGGCAGCACCCTTCTCCGCTCCCCAGCACAATGCCCAGCCCAAGTGCACCGCTCTATGCAGTTGCCAGCCCTGGAAGCCAGTGGAACGACACCATGCAGATGCTACAGTCCCCTGTGTGGGCTGCAACCAACGACTGCAGTGCCACCTCCTTCACCTACATGCAGACTCCACCACAGCCCCCAGCCCCACCCGCACACAAGGCGGCACCCAAGGGCTTCAAGGCCTTCCCTGGGAAGGCTGAGCGAAGGCCAGCCTACTTGCCCCAGTACTGATGCAGGGTCAGCCTGCCTGCCTGCCTGCCCAGAGCTGTTGGGGCCAGTACCTCTGCCCCATGGCTGACTAGTTGATACCAGCCCCCAAGAGGACCAGTGCACCCTGTCCCAAGGAGGGCTCCTTGGCAACAGGGGTAGTTGGCAGCTCCAAGCCTTTATCGCCTGGTTTCTCAAACTTTGAAGGCAGCAGACCCCTGGAAAACCAGCTGAAGATGGAGATTTCTGACACTCAGGGGGATGCTGGATAATCTGCATGTTTAAGCACCTCAGGTGATTCTGATGCAGGGGGCCAGAGGCCACACTCTGAAAAACACAGTTCTAAGGTTGCTAATCCTGCTGTGTGTTGGGAAGGTGTCAGGCCTGAAGGCTGACAGCAAAACTGACCATTCTTCTGAAAGCTTCTCCTTTTCCCTCCTTAATACATTGAGTGGTGACCACACCAATCACTGATTTCATAGCTATTATTCATGTAGGCTTTTAGTTAAAACATCTGCCTAAAATGCATTCAGTAGTTTAAGATAACAGATACAGTCTGGGGATGTGCTAACACTATACTTAAACTTACTCAAAATGGGCAAGGTAGAGAATATTGCAGCCAGAAGTATCACCTGGTGTTCTGTGAGTGGGCAGCTTTTTCTACCCCGGAAACACCCAGGGGATGTACCCCCTACCAGATTCACAAAAGCAGGGTTGTGAAAGTGATTCCGGAGCTCTGTTGCTGATGGTGCATGGAGAAGAGCCAGCTGGCTGATGTCTGGGGCAGACAGAGCTGCACCTGCTGCCCTCAGAGCTTCCACACTTGGACAGAGGCACTGTGCAGTCGTTGGGATGCTGAGCTGTAGCCACTGGATTGCAAGAGACACCTGCACTTGAAACCAGTGATATCTGTGAGCTGGCTCAGAAGACAAACCAATTAAGATGTGAGCAAGAATTAAAGTCTTTTCTTTAAAAAAAAACAAAACAAAACAACACCTCATTTTCAGTTAATATGTACCATGATTAAGTAGATAACATCTTGTGGATTTAGGGATATTTTCCAGCCAGAATGGATCCAGAATTGAATGGTGCTTAAATTGAGAAATAATAAATATATCTATATAGACTAGACATATCCCACTGTATAACTGAGGTTGCAGAAAGTTCTTTATATAAAACTTATTTAAATTTTTCATATTTCATCTTTGAAAAAGTCTAATTAAAAATCCATGATATTTTCTGGTATGAAAGTTTGACAGTATTAATATTTTTTTTATATTTTCTTAAATCATTAAACCATTTTAATATATGTTAACTACTAATAAATGGTTTATTCTTTCTAACTCCATATAAGCTTTTCCAGCAAAGATTGTAATAACACATTTATGTTCTCATTTTTCTACAAATACAAGTAAATTTATATTTAAAAATACCAAAAAGAATAAATAAATAAATATATATATATATATGTACACATACCATACACACACACACACACACACACACACACACATTACAGAGGACCCTTAGGTTGTCTGAGCCCAGCCACCTGCATTTTTAGTACTGTGCTGTCGGGCTGTTCCAGGCCTTGGGTATTGTCTTTTGTTCCGTATGGAGATGTCACTGCTGCCTGTACTTAATGATCCTTTCACACATTCACCTCACCTTGTTTACAGAAAACTGTGTGTACATAGAGTTTTTCAGGCACGTGCTTTGCATCAACCCTGTGTGGCTCTTGTCTGTATTAGCTGTCACAGTGTGCACACTAATCTCTGTTAAAGTTCTTTGTGGCTGTTTTACTTGTAAGATAGTTTTCTGTTTCCTTCAGTAATGTGTCCAGAGTACCCAGTACTTGGAGTTCTGTTATAATAAAGTACTTTTAATAGGGCCTCCCCAAAGACCTCATGGTGGACAGAGGTCAGTGCTCAATGCCCCAGTGCAAGTGACATTGCTAATTGTCACTTTCCAGTTTGTTCTTCTCAATTTAGGAAGATATTTCATAACTGTATCTCCATGGGCTGAGAGACTGTGTGAAGCTGTTTGTGTAGTCTCCATGTAAGTGCTGTGTTCCCAGCACCGCCTTGCTCTGAACACTGGTAATTCCAGGTGCTGCGCTCGGCAGAGGGGTCTCGGCAGAGGGGTCTCGCCAAAGCGCATGTGTGTGTGCATGTGTGTATACGCGCGCGTGAGTGTGTCCTTGGCATGGCCGGGCATGGCTGCCTTGCTCCGGCATCAGCAGGACATTTTGTGAATAGTTACAATGCTTCCAAACTGGAACTCTACATTTTGTATCTTACTTTTAAAGCTCCTATAAGTAAAATAACTATTGGCTTTATTAAAAAATATATACATTTAATAATACTCTGTATCTTTATTTAAACCTAACCACAGCAGATCCCACTTCAGAAGTGCTACCTGACTTACCACTGTGAAAAGCTGTGCATGAGTTGATTTTTACATCAGTCTGTCCTCTGACCGTGAGACCTGTCAAGAGGGAAGAGGAGTTAGGGATTCGGAGGAGCTGGAGTAGATGGGCAGAAAGCTGCATCCAACCATAGCCTTCCTGCTGGCTGCCCCAGGGATGTGGCTGCTTTAGGCCTCGCACAGGTACAAGTGACACACCTGAAGGAGGATAAAGACGCTCTCTGGGTTGGGATCTGCTGACATGTCCTACTGCATACAGGTATTGTGACCTGCCTGTCCACCTTTCCAAGGAGCAGACCCACGGAAGCAGATTTGTTCTGTCTTCCCTGCCAAAACTAGAGACATTGGTCTTTGCTGAGAGACCTTCCCTCCCAGGAGTAAAAAAACCTGTTTCCCTAAATGGTGCCATCCTGCCTAGCAGAAGGAAGATAGACTATCATGAAAACCACAAGTGGATGGTAGGTTATAGAAGAATTTCAACTCAGTTTCGCATACCAAAAGGCAACGTTTTACTGAAGTGGATTTTTTTTTCATGAACTTAGGAAAATAGAGTAATGTGAACATTAATATATAATCCACAAGCCATTCAGGCTTACTGCTTAGATACCCTGAAGTTGAGCACAGGGACCAAGTCCCCAGAGCCCTCCAAATGTACCTCAGGACAAGGATACTTAGTTAACAGCTGTGTTGCGTTGCATTCCCATCGGAAAGTCATATGAAAAATGCTAGCAAGGGGCTGGGGATGTATTTCAGTGGTAGAGCACATGCATAGCACACCCACAGTCCTGTATCCAAATCCCTAGCACCAGTACCCTAATAAAAGGCTCCAAGAAAGAAAAAGAAACCACTTTGGAGCCTGGGATTTAGCTCAGCAGCACAGCATCTAGATTGTCAGTTCAATCCCTGGTACAAAAAAAAGAAAAAGAAAAATCACCCACTTTATTCAAGTGTTTTCCTGTTTAAGTAACCAGTGCTGTTTACCAGCTTCAGCTCATAACATTGTAAGAGAGGTCTTGCGATTCTATGTGCTGAGTAAATGGATAGCAGTAAAAGTGAAAGCTCTTTGGTTTTTGTTTTGATTCAGTGGAACACATGTCATACTTGGGCTCTTAAGAGAGCTCTTGGGGGCCTTGGCTCATTTAAGAAATGGAGAATACACAGCAGCTAAGGTACTCACAAGATTTGCATCCTCCTTTCCTACTTCAGGTGCTCCTGCCAGGTGCAGCTGTGAGGAGATGGCCCCCTGTGTGCTGTGTGGCCACAGTTGTGACTTGCCTCCTAATTTGAAAACAAAATAGAAATCAACACCTTCCATCTGGGCCTGGTAATTGAAGCTGAGGCAAGAGGACTGCAAGCTTGAGCCTAGCCTAGAAAATTTGACAACTCAAATTTAAAAAAAGAGCTGCTGGGGTAGGTTGGAGGGGAATAGCTCAGTATGAAGACCCTGGATCCAAGCCCCAGAACTGCCAAAAAAAGTCAGGCATGGTGGTGCACAACTGTAATCACTTAGGCGGCAGAGGCAGGAAGACTGCCCTAAATTCAAGACCATTCTGGAAAACACAAGATCTTGTCTAAAAAAAAAAAAAAGAAAAAGGCTGGGCATCGTGGCTCTGATTGTGAGACCCATCAAGGGGGAAAACAGGTTAGGGATTTAGAGGAGCTGGAGTGGATGGGCAGAAAGCTGCACACAACCATAGCCCTCCCACTGGCTGCCCTAAGGTTAGAGCTGATTTAGGCACTTGGGATGCCGCAGAATCAACCACAAATTCAAGAAGCCAGCCTGAACTATATAAAGATACCCTGTCTCAAACAAATTAATACCTCCTAAAAGTCACCTTCTGAATTGCTGAAAAGCCATGTAGAAATATATGGACCTTCCGACCCAGGAGGAGTCCAGGGACAGGGACAGGCATGTTGCTTCTAGCAGCCTTATGATTCTTAAGGGATAGAAGCAAGCTGCTATTCCCGTGGAAGGGACTGGATGTGGCTTGTGTTGGGACCAACTTGGGGACATGGGCATAGGTAGCAGGGAAGGATTGTTTCATGAGTACCATGCTTATTTCGTAGGGCCTAGGCCCTTGCTACGAAAATGATACAGTCCCTACTGTTGAAACTCATCTTTTAGTGTAGACACCCCTACCTTGTCCATCTTGAGCAACAGTACCACAGTACACAGTGGTTTGCCTGTGGCTCAGACTGAAATCCTAGAAATCATTCTTGATTTCTTTTTATTCTCATTTAAGTAGTCAGAAAGCCCTATTCATGTTTTTCCAAGTACATCTGAAATGGGGTACTCTTTTTTTTTTTTTGGTTTGTACTGGAGATCAAACCTTGTGCTTACCAGGCAAGTGCTTGAGCCACTGAGATAAATCCCCAGCCCATCCAAGTACATTTGAATTCCTGCATGGTCTTACATCTCTACCCATCAGGCGCTCCCCAGGCTCTCCTACCTTTCTAGGATCTCAAGGTTTCCCATCCATACAGCCAACACCCCTATCCTAACCACACGATCTTGCCTGTTGATTTTTTTTTTTTTTTTTTTTTACCAGGAATCTAACTCAGGACCTTGCATTTGCCAGGCAGGCACCATGCCACTGAACTACATCCTGGCACCTTGCTTGTTGATTTTAAGGTTGCTTAAGAATCCATCAGTGACTAGGTATGGTAATCCTAGCACTTGGGAGGCTCAAGCAGGAGGATTGCCATAAAGTCTGAATTCAAAGCCAGTCTGAACTACACACTGAGCCCGTCTCAATAACCTCTCAGTAACCTGTGGCCAGCGTCGTTTTTAACCTAGCTTTTTCATCCATCACACCTCTTAACGCTGCGCTGGAATTTTGTGTGTTGGCTTTTGTTCTGCCCACTAGAAGGCCTCAATACAGCAAGGAGGCTAGAAGGCCACAGGTCCAGGGAGAAGCACAGCTCCCAGTATCACAGCCAAGCAACTTGAGAAAAATGAAAGGAGGTGCTGAAAACTAAATAAAACAAACCAGAGTTTTAAAAAGGCTCTCATGTTGGATAAAAGGAATACACACTATTACACTGGGTTCCGTGGCAAATATCACAAGTAACAAGCCTTATCTGGATAATTTACTGCAACCCTTCCTCAAAATAAAAAGCTGGGGCTGTATCTCAATGCAAAGGTCGTGGGCTCAATATTCAGTACTGGGTATATATCCATATATCTACATCTATATCTATATAGGTATACTATAAAATACCACACACGGACCGGACTACATAGATCTTTAATAAGTATAAAGCTTTCTATTCTCATGGCAACCGCACCCTATGTTGGCGGGGTCAGACTGTTTTAAAAGTGCGAGCAGCAGATTCACAAAGGAAACCGCGACGTGTCGAAGACCAAGGCAAGCAAACAGCCTCTAGAGGGCACAGGGAGCAGACACCCCCTAATGACCGCGACCTCTAGCGAGCGCAAGCGTAACAGCCCCACTGCGCGTGCGCACAAGCGCACACTGCATCCATCCCAGACGTGCATACTAGGATGTTCCGCCAGTCACCTTTCATCTGCCCAACCCCAGACCCTGCGGCGCACGCGCACATCGCACATGCGCTCGTCCCGTCCACCCCGTACGTGTCAGCCCCCACGCAGGCGCGCCCTCCCTTCCTCTGTACCTGCACGTGGTCGAGTCCGCCTTGCGCGTGGACTCGTTTGCCCATCCCACGCACACACCCAGCGCATGCCCACTCCTTGAGCGTCTCATGGCGCTAGGGAGGCGCGATCCCCCCCCCCCCCCACCCATCGTGACTCAGCGTCTTGGAGAGACGCCTCCTCGGAACTTCTAAAAATCTGTCAGTGTGGAAAGAGCTCTCCTGGCTTTGCGCTTCCTGTGGGTTGTTTCAACTCCGGGTCATCTCCTCTATGTCCTTCTCCTTTACTCTTATGATCACTTAGCCTCCAGGAATTAAGGCCTGGCTTATCTAAATGCCAATGCCTCAGCTTTCCCGTCTTAGAATGGGGTTCTTGTTTGAAACTGTGGCCCAGGCAAAGTAGCAGTCGCCTCCTTTTCCAGAGCTATTAGGGCTATTCCTGCCTAAACTTGCTTACACTGTCCCCTTTGATCCGTTAATTGGCAGGAGCCAGAGCATCTTACAGAAGGTGCTCCAGAGTGGTGGGTGCTGAAGGAGGATCTCTTGTGTTTTTGTGCCAGATTTTGGTTTTGTGGGGGTAAGGGGGTGCTCCTTAGTCCCAGTTTAAGAGCATGAAAAAGGAGCTTCTTTGAGTCGAGGACCACCATGCGTCTTAATCTTACACTTTGTTTGCTGCACTTGGCACAAATGGTGATGATAGTGGTTATAGAAGTAGACAGCAGTGAAGTTTAACATTCTTTAGGGTGTACAAGTACCTTACACTGACTTTTTTTTTTTTTTTTTTTTTTTTTGTCTTTTTCCTTTTTATCGGTACCAGGGATCAAACTCAGGACTACCTGCTTGCAAGGCAGGCACTTATGCCGCTGAGCTAAATCCCCAGCCCCTACGCTAACGTTTTTCTAAACTACATATTCCACTCCACTCCCACCCCTATTCAATCAGAGATGTCATCCCCAGACTCCAGTGACTGATAACCTTCCTGAATAGGTTCCTGCATCTTTCCTAGTGCATGTCTGTTTCTCTTATGCTGATCCAAAAGGATTGGCACTGACGTCATTGGTTGGATCACTCATTTCCCTAAACAACTGTCTTTTGAGTTGGCATTTTAGCCACATCCACTTGTAAAGGTCTGACAGCCACTTTCTATTTTCCTTTTTCATCTTTAGGATCTCAAATTGTTCTGGTACAGAGAGAAAGGTCTTTCTCTATGGAGCAATTGCGTGGAGGTGGGCAGTGGGCTAGGGAAATCACAGGCCTGGCACTATAATAGAATGGACACACTTCATGGTGGGTCAGCCTTTCTAGGGAGCCAGGTGACACAATAGCTTGATTTAAGAGTCCAGTTCTTAGGCCCTCTTTCATCCAAGCGTTTAACTTCAGATGCTGTTTATTTGTTCATGACTCCTAAATTTCTCCTTCAGCTCAGCCTTCTCCCCTGCACCTCTGACATGAATGCCCCACTTGGTACCTTCACTTGGTCTGCTTAGATATCTAACAGAAGGCAGTCATGGTAGTGCACTCCTGTAATCCCAGCACTAAGGAGGTTGAGGCAGGAGGATCACTGCTAGTTCAAGGCCAGCCTGGGCTACATGAGAGCCTGTCTCCAAAACAAAGATGTCTAACGGGTTTTAGAAATTTCATATGTCTAAAAATCAAGATCAGACTTGCACTACTTCTGTTCTTCTTCAGTGATTTTACTTTGTTTTGCATCACTGGTGATGGAATCCAGGGACTTGGGCATGTTGGACAAGCACACTCGTTATTGGAATTGTTGATAATGCCATGTCTCTGGGAACTTAGGTCCAAAACTGGATGTCATTCTGACCTGTCACCATGAAATTTTGAATTCTTCCCTCATCCAGACTACCATGCCCAACTCCTACCACACTGACAGAAGCCGCTTTTCTCTCTGGCCTGCATTATTGCACTAGCCTATTTGTGTCCTTATATTCCTGCTTCCTGTCAGTCTAACCCTTTGTAAACATGTCAGATGATGTCCCTCTTCTGCTTAGAATTCTTCAGTGGCTTCCCATTTTTTTCAGAACAAAAACCAACATCTGTAACAATGATCGCTGCATTCCCAGTACTGAGGATTCAACCTAGGTCCTTTCCACTAACCTACCTCTCCAGCCCTTTTACTTTTTATTTTGAGACTGTAGAATTGTTAAATTCTAAATTGCCCAGGCTGGGCTCAGATTCGCAGTCTTCCTGCCTTGGCTTCCGAGAGTTCTGCAACTACAGGCATGAGCCACCACACCAGGGATCAAACTCACAACCTCACACTTGCCAGGCAGGTGGTTATGCTGCTGAGCTATATCCCCAGGCCCACCACACCCAGTTCTTACAATAATTTATAAGATCTTGTGACTTTATTGCCTTCCCTTTGCTCTTTGATCGCCTTTTTTATCCCTTTCTCCTTCATTCCATTCACACGTGCCTTCTGTTTCTGCATTATCTAAGCATGCTCTTGCCTCAGGAATTTTGTTGCTGCTTCCTTTGGCTTCCACACTTTCCTCCCAGATAGTCAAATGGCTTCCTCCCCTACCTTATGGGTTTTGTTCGGTGTCACCTCATTAGTGTTTGTTTATTTATCTATTTTTATTTAGCACTGAAAATCAATGCTCAGGACCTCATACTTGCCAAGCAGGCACTGTGCCACTGAGCTATATCTCTGGCCTACTGTTTTTTCCTTGACGATTTTACAAAATTGTAACTCAGTTCCAAGCATCCTTTTCAGGCTGATTGTTCTCAGTTGCACTTACCAGCATCCGACGTACCCTATATTCTACTTTTGTAACACTGTGTACCCACACACCTGCAACACCTGTAACATAGAAGGTGTGCCTCAGAATTTTGATGGAATGAATGAATGAATGAATGAATGCGACCTCCTCGGATCTCGGCCTCTTCCCCGTCTCCAGTCACTTTTGGGCAGCGACCAACAAAGCGACGGTGCAAATGACTACCGTGTGCTACGGAGTGCCCAGCACCGGCCCTGGGCGGACCAGAGTTTTGCAAGGTCGCACTGCGGACAGCTAGGCCCGGGCGAGGCGGGGCGGGGCCGAAGTGCGGGGCAGGGCGGGGCGGGGCGCTTGCGCCATAAAGGCCTCTGCGCGCTAACAGTCCCTGCTCGCTGCGCCGCCTACCCCTGCGCGCTATCTTCCTCCTCGCGCACGCCTCGGTCCGTGCACCTTTCTGGTCCCGCCATGGCCGCGCTCACCCGGAACCCGGAGTTTCAGAAGCTGCAGCAGTGGCACCGCGAGCATGGCTCTGACCTGAACCTACGCCGTCTGTTCGAAGCCGACAAAGAACGCTTCAACCACTTCAGGTGCGCGCGCGTGGCCAGGGGACGGTCCCCGGCCACAGACAGGGCCCGGGTCGTGGGCACACGTTGTCCTTGACGCCTCCTTGGAGCTGGGTCCCGGGGGCCCATCTGCTCGCCGGTGATCCGGAGCCCGGGGCTACTTGGTCGTAGGGGAAGGAGCTCCTCCCCCGCTCCTTCGCCCCCTCCCAGCTCCAGTCGGGAGAGGGAGTCTCCTAGCGCCCGGGTGCGGGGGCTGCGCCGACCCCGCAGGCGGGAAGCACTGCCTGCGTTCGCCCGCCCGGCCGCGATCGGCTTGGGGCGGCGTGCGGGATGCGGGCTGGATGGGCAGGTCGGGGAGTTGCGGTGTTAAGAGTGGAGATGGCTGGGCCTAATTTCTGTCGAAGCGGCTAGGACCGGGAAACAGAAAGGAGTGTGAGAGGAATTCGTCCCGGTGTGCTCTGATCGCTGAGGCTAGGGGATGAGAGGAGAAAATAGAAAACCGCTCGTGGCCCCCTAGTCGGCCAGCGCGGCCGTCTGGGTAGTTGTCTGTGGAGATGCTGAAAAGGGGTGTCACGCTGAGAGGGGCCAGTTGCACCCCTTGTCTTCCCAGGCCATGACTCCTTGCCCAGAATCTGCGTTTCCCTTCTGTGGCATGGCCTTCACTGTGCAGCTGCTGCAGGTCAGCGGGGCAGCTGGTGGCCTTTTGGGGTGTGACACAGGGAGGATGTTTCTTCTGGAAGAACCTCCTGCCTCTGTCTCTGGTCTTGCGGTGGGGGAAAGGCTGCTGAAGAGACCTGGGGCGTGGTCAGCAGCCTCTGCATCTTTCTTCAGCTTGACTCTCAACACCAACCATGGGCATATTCTGTTGGATTATTCCAAGAACCTTGTTACGGAGGACGTCATGAAGATGCTGGTGGAACTGGTAATGTTCTGTTTGGGGAATTTTGACCTGTGACCCTCAGTATGGCAGGCGAGCTGAGCTCCTGGGAACCCCAGGTCCGGGAAGAAATGTATCTCAGTTACCACCTGTATGCTGCTGCAGGGCTCCAGTAGCCTGCCCCTTGGTCAGATTCCCAGCAGCATCCCCAGGAAGCCTGGTGCCTAATGTTTGATCACACTGGCCCCAGACAGTGGGAGGAGGAGACGGGCTGCCACTCCCTGCCAGCTCTGTTTATGGCAGCTATGTGCTTAGGGGCTTAGACTTGTGATCAGTGTGGTAGCACCAGGTCCGGTGTCTTTTCTTCCTAGGCCAAGTCCAGGGGTGTGGAGGCTGCCCGGGAGCGCATGTTCAGTGGTGAGAAGATCAACTACACCGAGGTGAGCAGGCCTGGTGGGTACATTCCCCCAGGGCCTCTTAGCCTTCCCCTTGCGGTTCATGACTGTTAGCATCACCCCGTGTCTTCCTCCTTTCTCTTAGGCAATGCTTTGCTCAATGACATGCCTGAGGACCTGTTCCCTTGGGGGGGGGGTGACTACCGTCCCCAAGGTTAGCAGGTTGGCTTTGGTGAACAAATTGGGAATGGCTCCCAGCATTGGCCCAAGGAGGAACATATCTTAAGCCTGAAGGGAGAGAATTTCTCAAGGCTGTCAGACATTTCTTATAGAACTTAACTCTTGCTTGATTTACCGTGTCACAACTCTAGTTCCTCAGTGATAGAAGTCAGTGGGGAGCAGTGGTGAGGCCAGGTGTTGAGGACACTGTTCCCCGCTTGTTATGAAAATCTGAGGAGATAATAAGCATTGAACTCTCAGTCTCGGTCTTCATGGCATCATTATCCTCCTGTTGCTTTTGAGGAATCTGAGTCTTGGTG